GGGTTGGGGGGTGGTTGCCCCCCCCCCCCCCCCCGAGACTCGTACCAGGGCTGCTTGCTCATCCCATGCTCTTGCTTCCTGACCAGGACAGGAAAAGTGCCCAGCTCCTGCACCCCCCAGCAGAGTTCCCCTCGCTCTCTGACAAAGGGGAACAGTCAGCAATGTCCCTGTACAAATCTGGGGGGAGGCGGAGCTTCAATCCCCATGCCCTCTCTAGAAGGCACCCCAGGGTGGGAGAGGGAGGCTCAGGAATCATGCATGATGGCGGCGAATGAGATCCCCACCAGCCCCTTTCACCTGCCTAATGGCATTCTGTTCTGTATGGCTTTCTGAGCAGCAGCCCCATTCCAGGCACATCCAAATTTGGTGGTCCTAGCCACCCACCCACACACTGAGAGTCGTTTCCATGCAGTGTCACAGGTATGTCTGCTAATTGCTTATCCCCTATTTTTCAACTCATTTGTGAAATGTGATGTAAATCTGTTAGTGACACAATGCAACTGAGGCAAAATGAAACCCTCAGACTGCTGAGCATGTATCCCTGTAAGTCAATTATAATACTGATTTCTTCTTTAATTAGTAGTAAGAATAGAACTGTTTACTATCAAAACCATTATCTTTGAAGAACAACTGGGAGTTTAATAGTGAATCTGCCTTCTGAAGAGTTTACAACTTTAATCTGAATCCAATGCCCCATTTAAGTCCTTACAATGATGGAAACTCTCCCCACCTTCTGCACATAACAAAGCAAAATATGCCCCACACGATCATGAGTGATGGGTTTCCATACTTCGGTTTCTTGCCTTGTACTGGAACAGATAGAATTGAGCTGATTGCAATAATGCAGACAGTTCCACACTTGCAGTGGGTGTATAATGTATATTGTACATTTCCAGCTGGCGCTCACATGCAGATTTCCTGACATCCTATTTCAAACTGATACAGATTCACCAGGCTAAGGGAGTAACGGCTCATTATGTCAAACATCAACATAAACACACAGAACAACAGACTGGATAGCTGACATTCAAATTCGAGGCCTCCATATTACTGCTAGCTTCTGAAGCAGCACCCAAAGGAACAGCAGGCTCAAGAGCAAAGGGCCGCGGAGGCATTGGTGCGCGAAGGACCATGTTAAGAGTGTGTCCAACATCCACAACGCCTGTCACTTCTCCAATCGCAGGTCTCAACACGCCATCTCAGCGAACGGGTGCATACCGGGCCTTTCAGCTACTCCTCGCACTGCTCCTAAGGCTGCCTCTGAACAGCCCAGGTCAACCCTCGCACTTTGCAAACAGCTGGGTAGACAGTGCTGTGGAGTTGTGGCCCAGGCCCTGAAGTCCACCCTCCTCCCTGGGCTTCAGAGCCCAAAGTCCTGGCTACACAGAGGTCTTCAGAGGGTGAGCTCTGCTAGCCAAGGGCTGCCAATCTGGGCCGGGAGGCTCGCTGCTGCTGACTGCAGGTGCTCTACGTGCACGTTACGGAGAAAAGAGCCGCTCTCAGGGTCACACAAGAGACCCTGCAAGAGTGCCAAGTGGGAAGGGTGCTGACGGGCTTTAGCCACAGCCCAGGGTCATGGGAGCATAAGCAGCAAGGCGGCTGAACTAGTGCCCTGCAGGCAGGGCCAAAGCTGAAGAGCAGAGAGCTTGGGAAGGAAGGATAACAGAGGGACAATGTGTCACAGACACTTCATATGGGGAAGCAAGGGGGCAGGAAATGCTGAAGGCATAAGAGAGGAAGAGAAAAGACGACCGTGGTATGAAGCTGAAGGCACGAAAGAACAGAACAAGAGATGTGGGAGAGACGCTGAGAGCAGCACGAAAGCTCGAAGGACAGCTTTCCAATGTAGTCATGTTTCCTTTCTTCACCCTGCAGCCTCCCTCTCCCCCAGGCTGGTTCCCATGTCCTACCAGAGAAAGGAACCGCCAGAGAAGAAAGGGAGCCGGGAGGGCAACCTGTGCAGGGAACACAGTCGTGTTCTTCCCCTCTCCCACCTGAGTCTTAGCGATTACAATTCCATGGGTGACTGTGTTGTACCCCGAGCGATGGCAAACGGCGTGCTCTGCTAATGAGCAGCAAGTTGTAAGAGGGCAGAACACGGCACTCTCGTGTACCTGGAATACAGGCAGCAAAGGGGCTTGTACGGTGTCTGCTCACAGACAGCAGGTGGATAGTGCAGCATCTACAAGCAGCTTTCTGCAAAGCCGCCGCTGTCTAACAATGGCAGTGCAGAACACTGGGGTTCACCAGCACAGACAAGGCAGGGCAGCCAGCATGCCTGCCACTCACAGCACGCAGGAGAAGCTAAAGGAGCACGGAGGTCAGCAAAATGAACCGGTACGATTGCACAGAGGGGCGACAAAGGACACTTGAACAAGGGATGCCGTCAACTACTCTAAAGACATGAGGATGTATGCATGCAAATAGAACAGTTTCTGCCCCGCTGGGAAGGGCAGAGCCTCTCCCTAGTCTGAGATGCAGGTCTGGGCACAAGGGAAGAGGAAGAGCATGCCACGATAGCGAGGAGGATAAAGAGCTTCTTATCCTAATGAACTGACAACCACAGCAATCTCATTCTTCCCTTCCCAGAAAGATTTTCAGGCCTGTACATCTTTGGAGTGCCCCAGTCAAGTCTTGCGAGAAAATACCTTCACATTAAACAACTTGAAAAACACACCAGATAGCCCAGGAGCATGTTAGAAACTAACAGAACAGGTAGATGGCATCATGAGCTTTCGTGGGCACAACCCACTTC